TTGAATTTGTTGAATTTCTTAGTTGAATTTTGCCAGTATCATTTGCGAAATTGACAAGGTCCCAAACAAGCTCCAGACGAAACTCCTTATGCTCTTTTGTCAATCCTGAAGTTATGATAATCCGATATGTATTGATAATAGCCGTGTCTAAAAGCCAAAAAAAAAGTGGCATCCAATTTCGCCGAGTTGTTTGCTGCATGCTGTAATAAGATCGTAGTTGGTCTGCAACATCTACACCGTTCATGTAGTTATTGTAGTCATCTATTACTCTGGGAATTTTTAATTTTTTTTTTGATTCAGTTCCAAATACTGTGCGCACTTTTACTGCATTAGTGCTTGTTTCTCTTGGTCGCTGTCTTTCTCGTTCCACTTTCCATTCATCACCAACGAGCCCATGAATTGTTGTCAACATTGTTACAGGACCATTATCTTGCCAGAAAACAACTAATGCACTGTTTGTTATGATACCAGAGCGAATATCCCAATTGAATTTGATATTTTTGTCTACCTTTAATTCTTTTGGAAAACCAGAAGAAGTTTTCCGGATGGTTCCACAAGCACCGATATTGATTTGTCGAAGATATTGAAAAAGAGGAATGCTAGTAAAATAGTTATCCATATATATATTGAATGAAAATCCAGAATATGGAAGTTGCTCAACAAGATGGTAAACTAAACACCCAGTTTTACTAAGACCATACACTTTCGTTACATTATTTAGAGAGACACGTGACGTTAGCAAAAAGGTGTAAGTGTATCCCGATTCACAAAGAGATAAAATTTTAAAGCCTTCTGGGGTTGGCTTGTTTTTGATTCTAATAATATGAATGCTTCTTCCAGAAAATCGAATAACCATTTCATCCACAGAGACATTCGAATTTGGTACGTAAAGTTGCTTTGAGACGTTACGGATATGTGAAAGCAATGGCTCCAACTTCTCAAAATAATTATTAATTGTCGCAGCAGGAGACGAAATATGTAAGAACCTCTTAATTATTTCAAAACATTTTAATGACATTTGTTTTGAAATATGATGTAAAGGAAGCTTTTCATCTTCATTCCAATATTGGTCAAGAGAGGGCAATCTATAAAGTCCTTGATAAATAACAAGTGCAATCCAGATAATGAGCTCCTTATGACTTAAGTCCAACCATTGTCTACCAATTACACTAGCACCTTTTGTTAAGGCATAAAGTTTCATATTCTCAACAATTATGTCCAGCATGCTGAGTGGAAAAAAAAGAAAAAAAAAATCAATAGGCCTAGAGACACTGGCATCAAGATGTGATGGCAGCTGAACAAATGCTCGATGCAGCGGCCTCTGATGGACGAATGGTTCAAAGTCTGAGGGTGGTAGTGGCAATTCTCGTTTGTTTTCTGATGACTTACGTTTTTTTGTGCGGACACCTCCTGTGCTTAGTTCCATCTTTTCTTCTTCTTCCTCATTATCTGATTCTGGATGATCAAGATAATGCCGACGAGTTGTTAAAAAAGGTATGTATTCTTCCTCATCGTCTACATAAACTTCCTAAATTTCAAGGGAAGGCAAAGTCAAATCAAATGTAGAGGACATTTTATTAATAATTGAAAACTTTTTTAACAATTGAGAAGCCTTTTTATTATTGTGATGAATTTTTATTAATAATTAGATTTTTTTTTTTTTTTTTTTTTTTAATAGAAGGTCGATTTTATTCTATTACTTAAATAACAATCTTGAATTAAGTATCCATTGGCAAGAATTTATTTTACGTTGATGCAAATGAAATACTCTAAGTTTAATTACAGATTTTAATATGTACTTTAAATTATTCTTAGCTTACTCCCTGATAAATAAAATTATGCTAAAAGGTTTAATTGTATGTTAATAAACAGGTAATTACAAGATTGATTATCAATTTTACTTATTAAAATAAACTTGTTTATCACTCTTAAAATAAACCTTATTTTTTTTGTGCATAAATTTTAAAAATAAAGTTTGTTTTAAGGGATGCAGTTAGAATTCAGAATGCCAAAACTGTGGATCAAAAATTTCAATAAAAAATTAGACCCAGGGCCGATTTGGATATAAAAGGAATACTGTAAATGTAAAAATGTTTTTTTAGCAATTTTAACTAGTACTTTAAAGCAGGTTTTGACTGCCTTTTTTTCGTATTTCTCACGTCTTCACTTTTTTTTGTTTTTTTAGAACAATCTAAATTACTGCTTGGATTGGTCGATTTACATAAATAACACATGACTTTGACAGACCTGTTAATAGTATATAATAGGTGATGTGAGCTGCTTTTATTTTATCTTAGGAAATATTGGGGGTGTCTTAAAAACATCAGAAGTAATTACTCATAGATCAGCAAAAAATCATTTTAGCGTTCAAATTTGGACACTAGACGGTTTAAAGGATAATAATGTGGTCTATTATCAGAAAAAATACTTATCTATTTTGGTTTTATTTCAATTATATCTATTACACCATGAAGTAAAGATATAATAAACTAGGCATCTTGTTTGTTATCACTACTCCAGTAATCAAATGCATTGATATTAATTTTATTGATATTTGGGTCTTTTGTATACATTAAAACTGAGTGAAGTAACTATTCACATTTGTCAAAAAATTTAGCTTTATTTTCTCTAGATTTTTGATATAATATTTTTATTTTATAGTTGATGATTATTAATGCACCATCTGAACTAAGTTGTATAAAGTTAGCATTTATTTAAGCATTAAGGTATGTTTTGTAAATATGATAGGCTTGAAAATATATAAGTTGATTTTAATATTCATTTAGCAATTTATGAATTTCAACTGAAGTATTAGCTTTGATTTCATAAAAAAAAAAAATAATTTTTCACAGTTCTAACACATTTCTAAATGGATTAAATTACAATCTCCAAATGTATAGTGTATACAATAGCTTAAATATGAATCATAAATAACAACACCTATTGGACTAATAGTAAGTTTTGTACTATAGTCTCTTCATAAATATCATTTTAAATTTTGTACTTAATTACTTAATTTGTTTTATATATTAAAAAATATTGAATACTTAAGTTTTAAATATATATATGCATATAGATAGTAGGCTACTGCATACAGTAATTACAATCTGAATATTAAATTTTATAATAAATTAAACATGAATAACAGATTGCATTCCTATTACTAGAGAATTTTTTTAAAATTTAATAATATTATATAAGAAACTAGATATTATGTTTATAAAAATAATAAACTAGTATTGTTATACTTTCAATTATTCAAGAGAGCAATTCTATATACTATCCTGGATGTTATTACTAAATACCATCTCTAGTTATATTGCCGAAATATCACGTGACTATACTTGTTTTACTGTATAGGGTGTAATAAATCATTGATGTGATAATTAATAAACGACCAATAAAAACTAACTAATTTATAACAGTTTATTAGCTGTCTATTATTTGTCATGTTCATGATTCATCACATCTAGTATGTCAAATAGAAGAGGTTACTTATACTATACTTTATCGCTAAATTATCTAAAGTAATATTCTAAAATTCTATCTAATAATGGTACTTATATGTTGCAAATAAATAATTATATAAGCATATATTAATATAAATACATTAAATAAACTTCACAATAATTAGTTAATGCAATAGAATCCAATAAATTTGTTTTTGCAGCGATTAGTAAACATTAACATTAGCAAATAACAAGTACTATAAATTAAACATTCTCCTTATTTAGACAGTTTAAATAAGTATAACTATTTTTATTACAAGTTCCACATGGTGCTATATAGCTTCTTGCATTGTAACCATTCTTGAAACAATTCTAACAAGTATATGTGTCTCCTGAACGAGTCTTAGTGTTTGCAGTTTTATTTTGAGAATGTTGTGCAACATTAGTTTTTGTAGAAGATTTAATTCTTTTAACAGGTCTTCCACGAGCATTAACTTGAAATAGATTTTGAATTGTATTAGAATTCAGGCTATTTAATGAACTATCATTAGCCTGTTCTACTTGTTGAATTAGGCCCCTCAAAGTTGCAGAAATATAAGTCAAACTAAACTCAGATGCCAATGCTGCTAACTTCCGTCCCAATGTCACACATTTATCATAAATTTGTTGCTTTAAAATTTTGTATTCAATTTCTTTATAATCACCACCCAAATCATCTTTTCTAAGATTTCAAATCATATTCATGGTTGAAAATGAAGTTTGTACATCAACAGTTATAAAAAATTCCTCAAAGCTTGATACATTACAATTATCAAATAAAGTATTAACTTTAAGTGAATCAATATCATTTTTATACCATCTACTTTTTATTAAAGCAATAGCAAATTTTGCTTTCTGTGTTTTTTAACATGACCTGAAAGAAGTAATGACATACAAGTCCCTTACTAAATAAGAGCAAGCATGTACAAACATGCGATTGATCCTTAAGCAATACAATACAGTTCGTCGAAATAGTATCAGCCTCTATATGCTTGACTTCCCAAATTCCAATTATATTATTAGAGTCAACACGCTTGATAAAAGATTTAAGAGCAACTTGTCTTCTATCTAAGTGTTCTTTAATACAAGCAACAGTATCGACAGCATCAACCTAAGATAAGAATTAGAGCATTCTAACACTTATACGTATCTTAAAGAAAAAAAATTAATCTTATATTATCATGTATAGAAAACTGTTCAAATAGAATTGGTAATAAATTGTATTCAAAACAAATATCAATTTGAGCTTTTTGAATCTGAAATATTTTATTTGTCAAAACTGACTTCAAATATTCTACAAGCTTTAGAAAAACTTAGCTTGATGCTGAAGACCCAACACTATAGGGTAAACTTTCTAAATAATCCCGATATTTGGCCTTTTGAAGTTCAGAGACTAACATATTCTGCATTCTATTAAAAAATTCTTTCAAATTTGAATGTGAATTAACATATTTGTGAACTATCACATTGATCGATTCTACCTATTGAGTTGATAACATTCTAGCATTAAACTCCTAAGAACAAAAATATAAAAAAAAAATTAAAATAAATCATAAATCCAAACCTTTAACTAACTCTAACTTAACATCTAGCTAACCCTAACTTAACCTCAAACTAACCCTAACTTAATCTCAAACTAACACTAACTTAACCTCAAACTAATACTAACTTAACTTCTAATGCTAACTTAATACCTAATTAACCCTAACCTCTAACTGTCTCATGATTTTTATCTGAAAAGTAAAACATTTGGCCCATTGTTCTTTAATAGGATATAGATTGTTTTTCAAATATAAGTATGCTTCAGTATATTTGGTGCATAACGATTCAAGTTGTATTTCTAAAATTTCTTCAAATAACATATTTCAGTAGGCTAAAAAATCAGCCTAAAATTCAAAGTATCGGGAGCCAAGAGAATGTGTTAATTGTTTTTTAATATTTTGAACAATATGGAAAACACAATGTAAATATCATATAGTTGGAAGGGTGGTTTTAATTGCAGGTTCTAATCCAGTATCACAGTTAGAAAAAATAGTTAATAGAGGTGAATTATCTGTCATTATCATAAGATTATTAAGAACCCAGTTGTATAATGAAGTCGTTTCATCAGACATCAATGCCTGTGCTAATAATCTTGAATGTTGGTACTCATCAACTCCAACAAATAAACACAATGCTAATCTATATTTATTTGTTCTTGCTGTATTGTCTGTTAAGATTACATCATTATACTTTAAGTAAAGATTTCGTTAAGAAGGAGTCATCCAAAATAAATAATAAAGGCAGTTTTTAACACAGTAATCTGCTATAAACAATGTAGGATCATCTTCTTTTAATGTTCTTAATATCTTTAAAAGGTTAGATGCATCATTTTCAGGATCTTGTTCTGGATCTGTTATGTCATCCTTTCGAAATTGTTGAATCACATTGGTTAAATCTTTGTCTAAAAACAATTGATTCTTAAATTCACTTTCTAAAAGTTGTCTTAATGTATGCTGACTAATGCCAGGAACTGTATTTATATAAAATTCAACCTTATCAATTATATTTTGAGGGAGCTGCTGATATGTATTAATAAAGTGTGCACTATTAGGACAAGGTGTATGACTATAGTGAGTAAGATTTAATTTAGTAATTGATGGACCTGGCAAACTTAATGGCCAACAAATATTAATAAAGCATGTGCAATTCATCTTTATAGACTTTTGATTGCACTGTTGTGAGGGTTCAATTGCCTTTTTTTTAGTTTGAAGGCTTCCTGCATGCTAACATTCAAATACATACTTATAAACTCCTTCATTTTTGTCAAGCTTTTTATTCTGGATTCGCCATGCAAAACCAGTCTTTTATTCGTATGCTAATAAGACTAAATTTACATGTTCCCAGTGGTCAAATTGTAACCTAACATATAAGTTTAATGCTTGTTCAAAAGCAGTACTAGGTATTGATAATGTTTCATGTGGACGCCTCTTGGATATTCCATTACAGGTAATTGAAATGGCAGGCATTTGTTGAGAAAAAAGATCACTGGGAGTTTCTATACTAGCAACCTCATTAACTTCATTTTGGCTTGACTAAAAGCTTGATAAGTATAAGGCATATAAAATAATAAACATTATAGTAAAAATTATTGATATATACTTGCTAGGAAAAAAGGTTGCTTGAAGTCTCTTCTTAACTATCGATTTCAATATAATTTTCATCAACATCGCTTTGGCTCATCTAAAAGATTTAGGTAAGTATAAAATATACATAATATAATTACTAAGTATAATATGATACTTACTGTCAACAATGTTTGGTGGTGGGCAATGTCTGGTAGTGAGCAATGTCTGGTGGTAGGCAGTGTCTGGTGATGAGCAATGTCTGGTGGTGGGCAATCTCAACATCTTGTAGTAGGCAATGGCAATGTTCTTTGGCTGTAAACTTCTTGCGTAGGCAACTTATAGTGAGTACTTTGTGCACTTATTACTCTTGTAATGTATTAGTTTGATTAAAAGAAAGAAAGCAAAAGCTTTAATTAAAACAAATGTAAAAGCAACAAAGTTTACAATAGCTAATAGTACAATAGAAAAAAAGGGATAATGATAATTTGTAGTAAAAGTCATGTGAATACACAGTGGGATGACATATCACAAGATCAGCCTGGATGATTTATATATTAATTTTTTAATATAATAAAATAATATAAAACTAATATATTTGTTTTTGTTTTTAGTTTTTAGTATTGTTATATTATATAACTATCTTATTAAAAAATTTTTAAAATTAACTACTATTTATATTAATTTATATAATAAAAGATAGTATAAAAATATCTATAGACTTATATATATTTAACAGATTTAAATATTTTACTATATAACAATTTGTAATAATAATAATATTAATTATAAACTAGTTTATGCTAAATTTTAAAATAATTATAAACTAGTTTATAATTAATTCTGAAAACATTAATATTTTTTATTTTTTATTTTTTATTTTTTTGCTAAGGCCATATTTGTGGTGATACTTTATTGACTTTATATTGGGTTAGCTATTACAACTATTTTTACAAAGATGAGAGTACAGCTAGTCATATATGCAACTTTTGGTTGCCTATTTAAGTAGTCCACCCTAAAGTTCTACACTAGATGCCATACTTATAACCTACTAGGAGATTATCCATTTAAATCCTCTAATCATCCACTCTATTATATTGAAATCTCCAAACTAACTCCTATATATACCTACTCAGTATACTGTCTGAGCAGTATGGTACCTATCCTTTTTGTACTGGTTTCTAGACTGTTACATATTTCAGAGTACATTACTTGCCAGTAAGGTGCAAGAGGCTTCCCGTTGTTAACTATCTACTTTCTTTTAGAACACTAATACAGGCTACCCTTACAGAGTTCACCCAAATCCTAGTACTAACTTCACAGCATATCCCTAGTACTTTTAGTATACCTCTGCTTTGAACTCAGACTCCCAATCCAGATAGCCTGAAAGGACTGTGACCTGTCTTTGGTATATTGAGGCCAGCCTAATATCTTTTTTCTCCGGTCCGAAATCTGGTAGCCTGGTTGGTAGTACCCCTCACCTGAGGTTCTTGCCCGCCTGAATCCTTTACATTGATATTCATTTCCTAAGTTTAGCCTTTACAGTAGTACTGTCAAAGATCTGTGTTACCTCTCTGCTCAGAATTTCCAAGTAGGCTCCAGCTTCTTAGTTCTACAGATTTACACAGCCTGAGGACTTATTTTAGGTTTGCACTGCCCGGTACCAGTTTGCATTCCTCTGTATAACATGTTATACAAATGCCTCAGACCTGCCAGTCATGCTGGTGCGACCATAGTTATAGGTATCCTATCCCAACTGATCGACAAAATGCTGGCACCATAATATCATCTATATATTACATAGGTGATTATCCAAATTTCACTATTAGTTGGTTTTGAACTCACAATCTACCACTTGGGGGTATGACAACTTATTCACTTCACTAAGTCACCACACCCTAAAAACATTAATATTAATTATATAATTAATTATATAAATAATTATAAATTATTCACTATATAATAAATTTAAATTTATCATATAATAAACTAATTTATATTTTTTATTATAAACAGAAATGCAGTATATATATATTTATAATTTTTTTTGTATTAAGTTAATAGTCTAAGTCAATTAATTAAAAGTTGTAGAGCTTATTAAAATATATTTAATAATAGTTAAATCATCTAAATTAGTTTAGTAGATGCTAAGATATTATTAAAAATAATTAACTAATTATATTAAATTTTATATAAACAAATTATTATTTATACCAGCTAATTATTTTTAATGATATCTTAATATCTACTAATCTAATTTAGATAATCAGACCTGCAGATCGATAGTGAAGTGGTTACACTCCCAGGTCGCCAATCATAAGGTTGCCAGTTCAAGTCCAATGAGGGATGAAAACTGAGTTAGGACCATGATGGTTAATTAACCACAACTAACTGCGAACTATGAAAATAGGAAGATCTTTAGTACCCAGATCCTTAAATGGCAACAGACCTAACATAAGAAGGCCGTGATGATTAAGGGGCTGAGAATAATAATAGAACAAAGGAATCCCCGATTAGGAATAATTTCGATGAAATTCCAGGGTAATAGTAACACAAAAATTTTTTTTTTTTTTTTTTTGTGTTAAGGTGAGGTTTTGCCTTTATCATTATTATTAATTTGTTTTGGGCAACTACGAGAGTTGACACAGGCCAGAGCCAATTTACAAATTTTTTACAAGAATGA